AATGAGACAGAAAAATAACAAGGATATCCAGGACTTGAACTCACCTGGAGCAAGCAAACCTAATAGACATTTACAGAACTCTCCACCCCAAATCCAGAGAATATACAGTTTTCTTAGCACCACATCACACCTACTCTAAAATTGACCACATAATGGGGAGTAAATAGCCCAAAGTAATTTATAGATTCAATGATAGCCCCATCAAGTTACCTACGACCCTCATACCAAAACAGAGATATAGACCAATGGAGCAGAACAGAGGCTTTGGGGTCAATGCCACACATCTACAACGATCTGACCTTTGACAAACATGAAAAAAACAAGCAATGTGGAAATGATGTTGGGAAAACTGGCTAGCCATGTGCAGAAAGCAGAAACTGGACCGCTTTCTGACACCTTACACTAAAATTAAGTCCAGATGGATTAAAGACTTAAACATAAGATCTAACACTATAAAAACCCTAGAAGAAAACCTAGGCAAAACCATTCAGGACATAAGGCGTAGACAAGGATTTCATGACTAAAACACCAAAAGCAATGGCAACAAAAGCCAAAATAGACAAATGGGATCTAATTAAACTCCAGAGCTTCTGCACAGCAAAAGAAACAATCATTAGAGTGAACCAGCAACCAACAGGATGGGAAAAAAATTTTGCAATCTACCCATCTGACAAAGAACTTATACCCAGAATCTATGAAGAACTAAAACAGATTTACTAGAAAAAAAAACAAACAAACCCATTCAAAAGTGGGTGAAGGACATGAACAGACACTTTTCAAAAGAAGACATATATGAGGCCAACAAACATATGAAAAAATGCTCATCACCACTGGTCATTAGAGAAATGCAAATCAAAACTACATTAAGATACTATCTCACGCCAGTTAGAATGGCAGTCATTAAATCTGGAGACAACAGATGCTGGAGAGGATATAGAGAAATATGAACACTTTTACACTGTTGGTGGGAATGTAAATTAGTTCAACCATTGTGGAAGACACTGTGGTGATTCCTCAAGGACCTAGAAATAGAAATCCCATTTGACCCAGCAATCCCATTACTGGGTATATATCCAAAGGACTATAAATCATTCTATTATAAAGACACATGCACACGTATGTTCATTGCAGCACTGTTTACAATAGCAAAGACCTGGAACCAACCCAAATGCCCATCAATGACAGACTGGACAGGGAAGTTCAGCATATATACACCATGGAATACTATGCAGCCATAAAAAACGATGAGTTTGTGTCCTTTGTAGGAACATGGATGAACCTGGAAACCATCATTCTCAGCAGACTGATACAAGAACAGAAAATCAAACACCACATGTTCTCACTCATACGTGGGTGTTGAACAAGGAGAACACATGGACACAGGGAGGGGAGAATTGCAAACTGAGGTCTGTTGGTGGGGGACTAGGGGAGGGACAGCGGGGGGTCGGTAGTTGGGGAGGGATGACATGGGGAAAGATGCCAGATATAGGTGATGGGGATGGAGGCAGCAAACTACATTGCCATGTATGTTCATATGAAATGATCCTGCATGTTCTTCACATGTACCCCAGAATCTAAAGTGCAATAAAATATAAATACATATCTAAAAAAAAAAGAAAGAAGACAATTTGATGGGTTCTCTTGCAACCTGCTGAGCACAATAGCTCTGGATTTTAATTATCCTTTCTAAAACAAATGGAAGATAGAATGCATCATCTTAAAAGAAAGATCTGTTGATTTAATGCAAATTTTGATCAGTGTTTCTAGAAAGCTATTGGCATTTGTATTCATTTTATTTTTACACTGTGGATCAGTGCCCGGCACAAACAGAATCTTATAGAATCTTGAGTCTAATACCCTTTGTATTGAAGGCCTGGCAATGCATTGTTATCTTTTCTGGGGAGAATGACAAAATGCAGTCCTTTACTTTTAAAAGACATTATTATTAAGGCCCTGGAAAAACACATAGTCATTTTCAATTAAAAATTGGTAAAAGAGAGACTCTAAAATAAAAATTTGTGCCAATGTTCACCTTTAATAACATTATGAAATCTCACAAAAATGTAACTAAAATTTAACCAAATTTGAGCAAACTTAGAGAAAAGGCTGTGTAGGGATGTTTGCTGCAAAACGTATGGTTTTCTCTGGATGGTGCTCAGGCTTTAACTAAGCCACATTGTGAAGTAACCATGATCTGTGCAAGGTCATGTCTCCCTTCATCATAAATCTATGTCCAAATGAAAAAGACAGAAGAATGAAATATGATAGGCACCATTTTGTGCCAGAAAATATAGTAAGTACTGCTTTAGAGCAATGCACGCCGTTGAACTCTGTCTGCAACTTCATTACATTCTTATGGCATGGATATTTTTAATTTATAAATGTTATATATGTAGTATAAATTTCATTTATACCATAAACTCTGATACAGATATTAGAGATGGTATCTCCAGATATGAGTTCGTTATGATGCACATACCTCTCCCAAAAAAGTGCCAAAAACACACAACTTAAAGTCCTCAAACTGACACATACATTTACACTTAGGTGTGAGAAAAATCTTACCTCTAGAGCACTTGTGGTTAGAAAGTCAAAACTTGCCAGAACAAAACTCAGTCTTCAGAATCTTCTTCCCTCATCATAGGATCAGAGCATTTCATCTGGCCTTCTTAAATCTAAATCTTTAAAATGACTATGTTTCTTCTTTCTCTCTGTTTTTCCTAATAGTTGGAGCTCATATGACTTCTGAGTGTAAATATCTCTTATATCTACATGTAAACATGACTTTCTACTGACTATATTGTTATAGACAAAAACTATTTTCACAATCCTGTGTGTATAAGTATATCCTACATCTACATGTAAACATTAAATGACTTTTTACTGACTATATTGTTATATTATAGATAATTATCTCCTATATCTACATGTAAACATTAAATGACTTTCTAATGACTGTAGTGTTATATTATGCAAAAAAATTATTTTTGTAATCCTGTATATCCTATATTTACATGTAAATATGAAATGGCTTTCTACTGACAAAAAACAAATAAATAAAGACTAACTTTCTTCATAGCCTTCTTGCTTTTTGCTAATAACTCCTTGTTAAGCCCTATCCTACACAGCTGTTAGACACAAGGGAATAAGTACATTCTATGTCCTTGTACTTTAACCAAGATATCTGTGCTGGGCATGCTCACAGGCATGTCCCACCTCACAGCCTATGCCCCTTCCTTATTTGGACTTCCTCCTTTCCTTTTTTCTCCATTGCCTGTACTATATAGAAAAGTTTTAAGTGGTTAGCCAATAGCGTTCAGTTTAGATTGTGAGATCTGGCCCCAACCAATGGAGATCAGACACAGCAGTAAGGACCCAAAGCATAAGGAATAAATATGTCTGCCTTTCCTTTGTTCATTGTACTCTCAAGGCAAGATGGCTAACAGGAGCGCCCTTTCTGCAGAAAGTAAAATTGCCTTACTGAGAAAACATTTTGTCTGAAAGCTAATTTTTCCTTGCAGTACCTGGGAACAAGCATTCTGTCTCTAACACCTAATGCCAGATATACCAAAATAATGAACCTATCATAAAATTGAAATTCTAAAATGCTTTGAAAATTCTACAGACTTCATGAGTTTATGTTAAGGAATGAAATTAATTCATTACTTCCTTTGTCAATCTTCATGTCTTTCTCATTAAGGATCCCTCCTCCATGTTTGCTATCATTTCACTGCCTACAGTCAACACATGAACCTCTTAAGACACGGATTTCCAGTTAAATGCATTTCTTGCTTTCCATGATCTGGGCAGCAGGGCACCCTATGGCTAAATATATAGAAACTAAAGACATACTCCCTTGTTGAAATCCACTGTCAACCTTTTATTAATAAAAGAAAATCACTTCTCTACTTATAACACTCTAACAAAAAAAAAGTCTGGATTTTCCATACCAATAATTCTCTCATTCTCTTCAGACACCACTGGGTGCCATACAATGGAATTCCATTCTGATAATAACCACCCTGAGTTAACACAGACCCCACAGGGTAAGGACTCAGTCCAACAAGACTGCCTCCCACTTCAGATGTGAAGCACAAGTGCTAGGCTTCGCATGCTGATGGACCAGCTACAAATCTGGGGTTCCCTCCTCACATTTGGTAATTTGCTAACATAGTTCACAGAACTCAGGAAAACTGGTTTGCTTACTATTAACAGTTTATCATGAAGGATACAATTGTGGAACAGCCAGATGGAACAGATTCACAGGGCAAGGTATGGGGAGAGGGGCAGGTGGCTGCAGTAACTCCCTAGGTGTACCACCCCTCCCAGACCTTCCCAACCTGGGAGTTCAACAAACCTTAATGTTCAAGAGTTTTTATACAGTTTAATATCTAGCCCCTTTTACTCCCCTTCCCAGAGGTTGGGGGTTGGGACTGAAACTTTCAGCCTCTAATGGCTTGGTCCTTTTGGTGACCAGCCCAATGCTGAGGCTATCCAGGGCCCCCAGCCTAGGTCACCTCATAGGAAAAATTCAGATGTGATCAAAAGCAACTCTTTACAAATAACAAAAGACATTATTATTACTCAAGAAATTCCAAGGGTGTTAGGAGCTCTGTGACAGAAACTACAGATAGAGTGCAAATATATTTCTTATTATACCACAATAAGGTACTTAACATGAGCAAATTACTTTAATACTCCAAGTATTCTTTTATGGATGAGGTGATAATACCATAATTAGATGTGAATAGATAGAGATAACAATACCACAAACCTTATAGGAGTACCCTGAGAACTAAGAGAAATTTAGGAAAAGGAATTGGCATAGTGCTTAATGAATGTCTATCATCATCATTGTTACCATTATTAAATTTATTACCTCTTCTCAGACTGCCTATTGTAGGTTCCACTAAGAAGACAGAAAGAATATTGAGTTAAAGATTTTGAGAATTAAAATAAAAAATCAGGAGAAAAAAATGAGAGTTATTAATGTCAATTACCTGCTTCAAAAAAGTTTGGTTTCTCTCTGTGCTTTCCATAATATGTGCATAAAGTCTGAGAGTATCAGATTCGTGCCCTGAAGAAAGCACAACATTGACTTTCATTCCCCAGGAATGTATGATTAAGAAGTTAAAAAGGTACGTTTGTAAATCACTCAGGCCTTCCTCTGAAACTATCAGAAAATATGGGTAATGCTGTTCCAAGAATAACTTCCAATCTTGTGATAAGCATCCAGAAAACTCCGTTTGCACATCAATGTCAGTGTTGTGTTGAAGGTGGAGAATTAAAGCAGTTCTCAATGAAAGAAATTCAGGAAAATCAAAATATGCACATTCAGCATCCTGTGGTGAGAAAGAAAAAGTATGTCATTTTGAAATCTTGCTTTAGTGATTTGTTAATTCTGCTGCTTACAGCACAAAGGCATATAGAATCAAACCCACGTGATCTAATTGTTTTTCTCAAGGGCCTTAAACTTGACTCATTTCACAATTGTATGCCACAAGTCAAAATGTGGATTATATAGACTCCTCTCCTTTATTTGAGCAGGCATACGTTATTACTTCACTTCTAATTTTTTTACTCTATGTTTAAATAGGGATCAAAGTAGCAAGTGGATAGATATATTTCATCTGAATTGAGAAGCTGACGTGGATCACTATTAGCAGTTATGTTCCAGGTGATGCGTCTCCTCCTTAAACAATGTAAATCTTTTCTTAGCAAATCAAAATTTCAATTTTTCAAATTTACAAGAAAAAAAACCCATTAAAAAGTGGGCAATGGACATGAACAGACACTTTTCAAAAGAAGAAATACATGCCACCAATAAGCATATTAAAAAAGCTCAACATCCCTAATCATTAGAGAAATGCAAATCAAAACCACAATGAGAAACCATCTCATACCAGTCAGAATGGCTATTACTAAAAAGCAAAAAATAACAGATGCTGATGAGGTTGCAGAGAAAACGGAATGCTTAACACTATTGGTGGGAGTATAAATTAGTTCAACCATTGTGGAAAACTGTGGCAATTCCTGACAGATCTACCATTCAACTCAGCAATCCCATTACTGTTTCATCATAAAGACACATGCATGTTCACTGCAGCACTATTCACAATAGCAAAGACATGAAATCAAACTAAATCATTGATAATAGACTGGACAAAGAAAATGTGATATATATACATCATGGAATACTATGCATCCATAAAAAAGAAGGAGATAATGTCCTTTGCAGATACATGGATGGAGCTGGAGGCTATTATCCTTAGCAAACAAATGCAGAAACAGAAACCAAAAACCTCATGCTCTCACTGACAAATAGGAGCTAAATAATGAGAACATATGGACACAGAGAGGGGGACAACAGACACTGGGGCCTGCACAAGGCTGGAGGGTGGAGGGTAGGAGGAGGGAGAAGATCAGGAAAAATAACTAATGGGTACTAGGCTTAATATCTAGGTGAAGAAATAATCTGTACAACAAACCCTGATAACACAAGCTTACCTATAGAACAAACCTGCACATATACCCCGAACTTAAAATAAAAGATTAAAAAATTGGTTTTTAAATGATATTGACAATCTAGTCTATTAGACTGTCAATATTTAAGAAGAAACCTGACTTTTCTATATGTATCGATCAAAACACTGCTTTTACTTTTAATGGTGCCAAAACTAACCACCACCTGCAAAAAAAAAAAAAAATCCTATGTAAAAAGATTAAACAAATATAGACTAGAATTCTTAGAAGTAAAACAACAATTGCTTCTAGGAGTAGGATAAGGGAATGTGCTCATAATATACTTTTGTATTTGGGTTGAGATTTGTTAAAATTTGAAGCCATTCAATCTGTAATTTTTAAAAAGCATAGTATAATACAACTGTTGAGGATATTTATAGAGATCAATCCAAATAAAGATAGTGCCTCTATTGAATTTGCCATTCTACTGGAATGTAAATACAATTTCTTCTCAGTTTTGATCCTAAAGTGCTTCCTAGAATTTAAGAATAAAAATTCAGGGAGCAAAAAAGATTGTTGAGAGAAGTTTGCCTCCTACTTCATGTTCCTAGGTGTCCTTAAAATAAGTATCTGTTTTTGCAGATAAAAATTAATTTTAGCTATCAACTACTCTGACAATGACATTTCTAGAAGATTATATTCAAGAACTGTAGACTCTATATTATTTCCAAGAACAGACGGTACATTCACCAAAATAGGCCATATATTGGGCATCAAAACAAATCCTAATAGATGTGTAAATAACTGAAATTGGAATTAAATTAGAACCACAATGGAATTAAATTAGAAATCAATAATAACACAAATAGAAAAAAAACAAGCATTTATACATTAAAACAATACTTTTTTAATTATTTAAATTATCCATAAGTGACATAATTGTAGAAACAGGATTTCACTCTGTTATTCAGGCTGGTCTTAAACTCTTGGCCTCAAGGGATCCTCCCCTCTCAGCCTCTCAAAGTGCCCTTATTACATGTGTGAGCCAGCTCACCTGGACTAATTGCCCATATTTATGGAGTACAGGGTGATATTTTGATATACATGTATATAATGTGTAATGATCAAATCAGAGTAATTAGTGTATTGATCACATCAGACACAATTATTTGTGTGTGTGTGTGTGTGTGTGTGTGTGTGTGTGTGTTGAAAAACATGCCAAATCTGCTCTTCTAGGTATTTGAAAAAAAATGCAATAAATTACTGTTAATTATAGCCACACTATTGTGTAACAATGTCCTCCAAGGTGATCCATGTTGCCACAAATGACAGAATTTTATTTTTTTATAGCCAAATAGTATTATATTGTGTATGTATACACCACATTTTCTTTATCTATTCATCTGTTGATGAACACTTGGTTTGTTTCCATATATTGGCTATATGTATAGTGTAATAAAAACAAGAAGGCAGATATCTCTTTAACATAATGATTTCCTATCTTTTGAATATGTACCTAGTAGTGGGATTAATGGTTCACACAGTAATTCTGGTTTTCATTTTTTGAGGAACCTCCATACTGTTTTCCATATTACTAACTCACATTCATACCAGCAGCAAATGAGTTGCCCTTTCTCTACATCCTTACTAGCATTTTTTTTTGTCTTTCTGACAATAGCTATTCTAATGGGGTGAGATGCTATCTTATTGTGGTTTGGATTTGCATTTCTCTGATGCGTAATAATGTTGACTATGATTTCATATACGTGTTGGTCATTTGTATGTCTTCTATTGAGAGATGTCTACTCAGGTCACTTGCCCACATGTTAATTGGATTATCTTTTTTTTACTTTTGCTGTTGAGATGTTAGAGTTCCCTGCTTATCCTGGATATTAATTCCTTGTAGAATAAACAGTGGCAAACATTTTTCCCATTCTGAAGGTGTCTGTTTACTCTGTTGATTACTTCCTTTGCTATGCAGAAACTTTTTAGTTTGATATAATCCCATTTGTCTATTTTTGCTTTTACCACCTGTGCTTCTGAGGCCTTCATAAGATCTTTGCACTAACCAATGTCCTAAAGAATTTCCCCTATATTTTCTTCTAATAGTTTCATAGTTTTGGGTCCTACATTTAAGTCCTTAATCCATTTTGAATCGATTTTTTATGTGGTGAAAATGAGGGTTCAGTTTCATTTTTCTGCATGTGAATATCCAATTTTCTGAGTACCATTTACTGAAGACATTGTCCTTTCAATTGAACATTCTTGATGTTTTGGTCGAAAATCATTTGGCTGTAAACATGTGAATTTATTTCTGGGTTCTCCATTCAGTTTCATTGGTACAAATGTCCATTTTTATTGTCCATTTTTATGCCAGTACCATGCTGTTTGGGTTACTAGAGCTTTGTTGGATACTTTGAAATCTATCAGTGTAATACCTCCAGCTTTTAAAACAACAAACTCCTAAATAATCCACTGGTCAAAGAAAAAAGAATCACAAGAGATGTCAGAAATTATTTCTAATTAAATGGTAAAAAAAAATGCAAATTTGTGATATGTGGCTAAAACATGGCTTACAAGAAAATTTTTACAGTTCATAAATAGAAAAGAAGAAAGAGCTTGGCTTAAAATTTCAACTTAAGAAGCTTGTGGAAAAAAAAGTAAGAAAAATCCAAGAGAAACAAATAAAGACAAGAGTAGAAATCAGTGAAATTAAAAAGAAAAAAAGACAATACAGAAAATTAACAAAATGAAAAAGCTAGGTGTTTGAAAACATCAACAAAATTCATAAATCACTAACTAGATTAATCAAGAAGAAAGAAGACACAAGTCAGCAGTATAAAGGATAAATGAAGGCAGAATAAAATGGAAATTATCACAGTAGGGAATCCGTGAGGCTGTGTCACATACAGCAGATATGGCTTTCACACATGTTTTAAAAAGTTAACTCCTTATTTTCCCTTATCAGTGTATCAGGTTATAGAATCAGAGATATAACAATGACAAATGGCATTTTAATTTGTAAAATTATGTAATGATACTTATCATTTGGAAATAGAAAAATAAAAATCTATTCCCTCACCAGATGTGAATTTCAAGTAGAGCAGTTGCTTTGAAGAGTTAATGTCATGTTTCTGATGAGTACCCTCCTGTCATTGCATCATTGGTTGTCACTAGCAGCTGGCCAAAAAAAAAAAAAGTCTTTTGCTGTATTAGTCAGGATTTCTGCAGTTTATGTTTCAAAACTGGTTTAGAGTATCTGGGTGATGGGTATATATGGTCCATGTATCCCTTTTTGGAAAGCTATAGTTACAGTCTGTGTGCTTTGTAGCCTGTTACACAGAAAGCAGCAGATAATCAAAGATTTAAGGGACACAGACAGCTGCCAGTTGACAAAATGGGACTGTAATGTGAAAGTTTTTAGAGGGTTTTTGGTTTTGTTCTAACAAAACATGTTCTAACATGTTTTGTTAGAATACATGTTGGTTTTGTTCTGTTCTTCTTTTCCTTAAGAAAGGAACCAAGCTTACATATAAACTGTTGGTAATTTTAGTTTCCTTCTGTGTCATTCAGTGTAAAACTGCATAATTTGAAAAAAAAAATGAAAAAATAAATCTTTAGTAGCTAGGCACAGTGGCTCATGCCTATAATCCCAGAACTTTGGGAGGCCCAGGTAGGTGGATTGCTTGAGTTCAGGAGTTGGAAACTAGCCTGTGCAACACAGCAAGACCCCATCTTTTCAAAAAATACAAAAATAAGTCAACCATATTCACGGCTGTAGTCCCAGCTACTCAGGAGGCTGAGGTGGAGGATCATTTGAGCGCAGGACACAGAGGTTGCAGTGCGCCAAAATAACACTACTGCATTCCAGTTTGGGAGTTAGAGTGAGTCCCTGTCTTGAACTTTAAAAAAAGAAAATTTAGTTTCTGTTCAAAAAATAAAAATAAAAGAGGGACCTAACTAACACTAACATCACTACAAATCTTTAGGCAATAAGAGGAAAATAAGAGAATGTTATATGCAACTTTATGCCAAAATATTAAATAACTTAGATAAGATGGCAAATTCTTTGACATATACAATTAACAAAACTGACACAAGATAAAACAAAATATCTAAATGGCCCTACATTTATTAAAGAAATTGACTTTGTTATCAAAAATTTTCTTCAAAGGAAAACTCCAGACCCAAATGCTTTCACAGGAAAATTTTATCAAATTTTATCAGATTTGTCTGAGGAAATAATACTAATCTTACAAAAACTTTTTCAGAAAACAGAAGAGGAAAATGGGCTTTTCAACACATTCACTAAATCAGCATGATCCTAATACCAAAACCAGACAAAGACACTATAAAAAAAAATAAATAAAACTGGCTGGGTACGGTGGCTCACACTTGTAATCCCAGCACTCTGGGAGGCCGAGGCTGGCAGAATCCTTAGGTCAAGAGTTCCAGACCAGCCTAGCCAACACAGGGAAACACTGTCCCTACTAAAAATACAAAATCATCAGCCAGGCACGGTAACACATGCCTGTAATCCCAGCTACACTGGAGGCTGAAACAGGAGAATTGCTTACACCTGGGAGGCAGAGATTGCAGTGAGCCAACACTAAGCCATTGCACTCCAGCTTGGGTGACAGAGTGAGACTCCATCTCAAATAAATAAATAAATAAAATTACAGATTAATATTTTTCACGACTATATACTTAAAAAGCTTAAAATATTGGGAAATCAAACTCAGCAATATATTAAAGAAAGTATATCTATCATGACCAATTGAGGCTTTCCCAGGAATAAAAGATTGAATTGAATTAATATTTAACAATTTCTTAATGTAATCTACCAAATTAAGAAAATAAAAGAGGAACACTCTATCAGAATTTCAATACATGTAGGAAAAGCATTTTTTTAATGTAACACCTGTTCATTATAGAAATTCTCAGAAAACTTAAGAAGAAATTTCCTCAATTTGATAATAGGAAAATCATTTTTTAAAAATGTAACACCTGCTCATTATAGAAATTCTCAGAAAACTTAAAATAAGAAGAAATTTCCTCAATTTGATAATGGGTATATATAACTACAGCTAATATGATACCTAGCAGGGAAATAATGGACGCTTTCCCTTTAAGATCAAAGACCAGGTAAAGATGCCCACTCACTCTACTTCAACATTTACTAGAAGTGCCAGTCACTGTAATAAGGCAAGAAAAAGAAATTTTTTTTAATTGAAAAATAAGAAATAAGCATATATTTATTCACTAAATATTTTGAAAAATCTAAGAAATACACAAATCAGCAACTAAAATTAATAAGTTGCTTTGATAAGATTGTAGGATATCAGTTAACAAAAACCAATTCTACTTCTACATACAAACAGCAAAAAATACAAAATTTTTTAAAAGTTCAATCTATGATAAGATCAAAACATGAAATATCTTGAAATATATTTAGCAAAAGATGTGTAACATCACAATGAAGACTACAAAACTGATAAGAGAAATTGGAGATCTTAAATAAAAAACGGCTATATATTGTGTTCACTAACTGAAAAACTATATTGTTCTACAAATGTAATGACTATCAATTATAACCCCATTGTTCTTTTTAAATAGAAATTGGTAAACTCATTCTAAAATTTGTGTGAAAATGCCGAGAACCTAGAATAGTGAAAGTTAAAGAAGAACAAATGGGTTTCAAGATTTACTATAAAATTACACGAATCAGCACATTGTGGTACTGGTAATTTGTTAAATCCTTTGATGGAACATAGTAGAAAGCCCAGAAATAGACCCACACATATATAATCATTTGATTTTTGATGAAGAAACCAAAGCATTCTACTGGTAGAAGAAAAACAGTCTCCACAATGGATGCTGGAATAAATGAACCTCAATTCCTAATTCACACCACACAGACACAAAAATTAATTCAAGACATATCATAGACCGATGTAAAAGCTGAAACTACATGCTTCTAGAATTATTAATAAGTATAGGAGACTATCTTTATGACTAAGAGATAGGCAATGATTCTTATCAGGATATAGGCACAATAACCATTAAAGAATAATAAATTAGACTTCATCAAAACTAAAATATCTGCTCATCCAAAGCTAGCATTAAGAAAACGAAGTGGCAAGCCACAGACTGAGAAAATATATTTGCAATAATATATATGACCACATGTTGTACACAGAATATATCCAGAACTACTACAACTCAATATTAAAAAGATAAAGAATTCAATTTAAACCAGTCAAAAGATATGAGCAGATGCTTCACAAGTGACAGTATACAGATGAACAATAAGCGCTTGAAAAAGTAGGCAACATCATTAGCCATTTGATAAATACCAATTGAAACACAGGAACATCACACTACACATCCACCAAAATGGCTGGACTAACCAAATACAAATGTTTGCAACTACATGGGGCACCAGAAACTCTTAGTCATTGCTGGAGTGAGTATAAAAGGGCACAATGACCTTAGGAAAAGTTTTGGCAGTTTTATAAAATATATTTTCCAATCACAGATATATGCATAAGGAAAATGAAAACTTACATCCACACAAAGACTTGTGTGTGATTGCACATAGTACCTTTATTCATCTAGGCAAGATATTGAAGGAGCCCAAGTGTTCACTCAACAGGAAAATGGGTAAACAAACCATGGTACATTTCTACAATAAAAACCTTACTCAAAATTGGTAAGAGGAACAAAATACTGATACACACAACAAAATGGATACCTCTCAAAAACATTATGTTGAATGAAAGAAGGTTTATACAAATAGTTCATACTGTAAAATTCTACTTATTAAAAGTTCTAGAACTTTGAGAGGCCAAGGCTGGCAGATCACCTGAGGTCAGGAGTTCGAGACCAGCCTGACCAATATGATGAAACCCCGTCTCTACTAAGAATACAAAAATTAGCCAGCTGTGGTGGCATTGACCTGTAATCCCAGCTACTCAGGAGGCTAAGACAGGAGAATCACATGAACCCAGGAGGCGGAGGTTGTGGTGAGCAAAGATTATGCCACTGCACTCCAGCCTGGGCAACAAGAGCAAAACTCCATCTCAAAAAAAAATAAAATAAATAAAGTTATAGAATAGGCAAATCTAAATACAATAGAAAGGATTTAAACAGTGGTTGCTTCTGAGGGATGGAGTGAGGATGAACTTGATAGGGATATGAGAAGACGCCCTGTGGAACAAAAGTTTGGGTTATACACGCACACCTTTGTCAAAGCTCAATGTACTGGTAAACACTATGCACACTTGGAAGCTCATTAAATGGCATTAGGTTGGTGAAAAACTTTTTGTAATACGTTTAAGATCTGTGCATTTCACTTCATGCAAATTTGACCGCCAAAAAAAAAAAAAAAAATCTTGCAGATAAGTACTGAACTCTGGTTAATGGCATGTATGCTGAAATGTTTAAGAGTAAAATGTAATGTCTACAACTACTTTGAAATGTACCCCCCCAAAAAAAGGAGTTATTCAAAGGCATGGATAAGTTTACAGATATAATAAAATGTAATTGTATGATTTAGATGGTGGAGATATAGATATTTGCTACACAACCTTTCAACTTATCTATATTTGAAATTTTTATAATAAAATATTGAAAACTAAAGAAAGGGCTTCCTGGTGCTTACCACACACTGAATTCTTACACTGACTATATAGAAAGGGAGCTAGAGTAAACCTACCTATATATACTTCAGCCCAGACCTTGTGCCTGGTCTATATTGTGAATGTGCGAACATACAGTTGAGAGAAAAAAAAAAAACTTAATAAATAAAAAATAAAGAATGGCTATCTCTGAGTAGTGAAATCATGGGTAATATTTTCTTTTGTTAATCTGCCTTTTTATATTTTCCATGATGACATGCTTCATTTTAAGCAAAATACTCTTTAGCTTAAGAGATTTCAGTTATAGTTTTCAAAGGATTAAAAAGACATCAATCATCATATATTACCTTGAAGAAAACTATAGAAAATTGTCCTCCATTACTCATAAGATCCACAAGATAGCATTCAACCAGATAGAAGAAATGGAGATTCTGTCCCCACTTGAATGATTTTACACATAGGCATGTGACAAGCAAGGAGTCTCCATCAATCACAAAAAAATTAGATTCCACGAAATCATTTAATATGCTGGAATACCTAAAATAAAATAGAATAAAAATCACAGATGATTTCCACAGAGACTTTGTTGCTGTTGTTATTATTATTGTATAAGCTACTATTTGTTGCATGCCTCATGTCAGTCTACGATGTCTTTTCAAATACAGTACCTCATTTAAGCAACTGTCCGTTATAAGAAGGAGATAGCACAATTACTATTTTATTACAAGAAAATTAGGCCCAGAGAGACAAAGGAATTTATCCAATGCTAAATGGCAGAGCCAGGATTTGAACTTGAGAATATGATTCTAAAGGCTGTTATTCTGGATAAGCGCATATATAACCCCCAGCTCCAGAAGTCTGATTGCTTTAGGAAATAATCTGTTCAGTGACAGCCATGACAACTCTAGGAAGAAGAGTGCATTCCCATCATCTCCAAGCTGCTCCAAGATAAATAGTTGAGTGATCCTGTATGTGTATATGGGTTAAGAGGTATGTGGATACACAGAGCATATAATAGTATAGCTCTTTCTTTTTTAATTCACATACTTACCCAGCTTTTGGCATTTCATACAAAATTAACTCTGTCATTTTCCTGAAAAATACTGCATGATCCTTTAACCCTAAAAAAAGAGATTTTGAACCATCAATATGTTTACATGTATATATAATTTAGTAATTATTAAGAAAAGGAAATATGGATATCCAATTACTTTGTAATATTACTGAATCTCAATATCTCACAAGATTGTTGTTTTATAGACTGCTAATATCAAAGATTGAGAATTACCCATTGTTGCTGCTTCTGGGGCTACAGGGTAGAAGAGTAGAAGTGGAATTTATTACATATGGCTGATATATTTTATTTTGGCACCTCTAAAATGCCTATATTTGCTGTGAATGGCACCCCTGTAACAAAAGAAAAAAAATTAGAACTCTACTTATTCCTAAAACAAAGAAAATGAACCCAAAAAATATGGTTACAATTTCCACAGAGCAACAGTCTAGTAAAAAAGCAAAGATTGGTCAAATAATCATACAAAGAATTTCAAACCACAAATGTGAGAAAAGGCACAGATGTGGGTGTGGCTTCCCTAAAGAATTAATGCATGAGCTGAGATCTGAAGGAAAGAATGCTCCCTTATAGTTAATTTGCCCCTCAAAAAGCAACACAAAGTATTCTTGGCAAAGGGAACAGCATGTGCAAAGGTCTTGTGACAGGGGACAGTATGGAAAGTACCAGATTCAGAAAAGACATTAGTGTGGCTGCAGCAGAGGGTAAGGCTGTTTCAGATAAGGTTAGAGAAAAGGATAAATAAGGTCAGATAAGGATACAGAAAAAGGTCAGCTAAGGATAGAGGAAAAGGAAGCTATGCAGTCTTTTAAGGAATTTTAAGGTGTTTCGTCTTTACCTTCAGGTCACAATTCAGCCATTGATGGGTTTTAAACTGGTTGTAATTTGATCACACTTGCATTTGGTAAACATTACTCTATCTTTAGTACAGAGAAGAGATTGGATGGGGAAGTACATAGAGAAAGCTACTGAAATAGTCCTGCAGAAAGACGATGGTGGTTTGAACTAATGTGATGCTATTCAGACGTGGAGAGACGTGGATTTATCAGAGGGACATTGTGAAGATAAATGTGACATAGTTTGACAATAGATTCCACATGGGAAGGGAGAGGTGGGGGTGTCATGGATGACGCCTCAGATCCTAGCAAGAACAAGAGGATGGATGATGGGGCTTGGACAACGCATGCTAAAAGGTGGCCAGGTTTCTGGGCTAGAAATAGAAATATGAAGTCACTTGATTACTAAAGATAACTGACGAAATGAGTATATATCACAGGTAGAAGAAATCAGTGAAGGCTGCTGATTAGTAACTCTGGGTCACTCCCAAAATAAGTTTCTGGCCACTACTGATCACTCCCAATGAAGAAGGGAATTAAATAATAGCAGTAATAGTAAAAACAAAACCTTATAATTTGTAGTTCCTATATAAAAAATACATTTTGCTGTGTTGTATGCTTTTAATATAAAACCTAACCCCTAGCACTGCTTAAAATTAACTTCCTCCCTGTACAACCTACCTTATCTATTCTTCCCACATTCTCAGCAAAGTTCCCAGGCATCTCAAGACTCCTGTTTTCCTTGCTAACCAGCTGCAATGTCACAGGGCAAGATAACACCCAAAAAATCTACAATGAGTTCCTCAAAACGCTATTTTTCAAATGTGATATACATAACAAGACATGTTGCAAATTAATTAACTGTTCTTTGTTCTGACTTCTGTAAACCTGTTAGCTGCTATGTCATCTTGGATGTATAAAAGTACCCCATTTTCTTTCTCTGGGCCTCAGCCTTGGGATACTAATCTGCTGAGCCGGTGGGCACCTTAATAAAATCCTCTTGTTTCATCCATTGGTCTCTCCGGTCTCCAGGATATTCTGTAACACCAAAATGAACCATTTGCACTCAAATTCCTGTTTTGGGAGCCGATTCTGGGAGAACTCACATCTTCACTTCATACCAACCATAAAGAACAGCAGCAAAATACGGTTAGAACTCAATATTGCCACAGGATTGGTAGGTAGAAAAGTATTTATAGCCAAAGTAAGTATAGTCTCTGTGAAACTGAAGGGACAGAAAGCAGAATGCATTTATTCAACAACTACTGAATGAACAAACACCTGCTGCGTGACGGCACTGCACTTGGGCATGGGAGTACACTGAAAAGGACAAAAGTAGCCTTTGCTGTACTCTAGGAACTTATCATCTAGTAGGAAAAAAAATGAAACTTTAAATATGTAAAAGTTAAGTATGATTTAAAAAGTAAAAGAATTTTAATGAATTGGACAGGATTGCTACAGACAATATCTCCAAGAAAGTGACATTTTAGATGAGACCAGAAGGAGTGAGTGGAGTGGTCATTCAAAGACTCCCTCCCATTTAAGAGAGAGACAGGTTAGGAAAACCTCAATCAGCTTTTTTAGTAAGCACTGTAATTTTTAAAATGTATAATATCCATATAAATGTTAGGATCATCAGATATAAAATACTGATCAGACAGAAAATAAACACCAAAAATAAAGACAAAGAAATAAACAAACTAAAAAAATCAAAATATTCTAAAAAAAGCAGAAGAGAACTTTTAAAAATTCCAACTAGAATTTTCATAGAGAATCAAAGATATTGAATCTACGAAATAAGAGCTTGCATGCTGCTGTTGAAAAGAAAAAAATACAGGAACAAGAAAGCACTCTTGAAAATTCAAATCAAAACTACATTGAGATACCATCTCACGCCAGTTAGAATGGCGATCATTAAAAAATGCAGAGACAACAGATGCTGGAGAGGATGTGGAGAAATAGGAACACTTTTACACTGTTGGCGGGAGTGTAAATCAGTTCAACCATTGTGGAAGACAGTGTGACGATTCCTCAAGGACCTAGAAACAGAAATTCTATTTGACCCAGCAATCCCATTACTGGGTATATATCCAAAGGATTATAAATCATTCTATTATAAGGACACATGCACACGTATGTTCATTGCAGCACTGTTTACAATAGCAAAGACCTGGAACCCACCCAAATGCCCATCGATCACAGACTGGACAGGGAAAATGTGGCACATATACACCATGGAATACTGTGCAGCCATAAAAAACGGTGAGTTCATGTCCTTTGTAGGGACACAGATGAACCTAGAAACCATCATTCTCAGCAAACTGACACAAGAACAGAAAATCAAACACCGCATGTTCTCACTCATAGGCGGGTGTTGAACAATGAGAACACAGGGAGGGGAGCATCACACACTGGGGTCTGTCGGGAAGAAATAGGGGAGGGACAACGGGGGGGTGGGGAGTTGGGGAGGGATAACATGGGGAGAAATCCAAGGTGATGGGGAGAAAGGCAGCAAACCACACTGCCACGTGTGTACCTATGCAACAATCTTGCATGTTCTTCACATGTACCCTGAAACCTAAAATGCAATAAAAAAGCAAGATTGCAGATATAAAATAAATTATAAATTCAATAAATTATAAATTATAAATTCAATAACACAGAATCCCAAGTTAAAAGACAGAGTTCAGAAACACAATGAGATAAAAATAAGAGAAACATTAATACACATGAAAGATTGATCAAAGCTTATAGAAGCCATTAAAAGGAAATCCAGGAGGAAATAACTGGGATACCAGAATGGGTGATAAAAATAATCAAAAACATAAAATGAGAAGATGTAATTTAAGAAGACTGTCTCAGGGCCAAAGAAAAATATGAGTCCCTAGATTAAAAAGGTTCTCCAAAAACAAAACAAGTTTGATGAAAAAAGAGAAAGCTACAGCTAGATACATCCTGATAAAATTTCAGTGCTCCAAAGATAAAAAGAAAATCTAAAATCTGACAAAAGATATTTTAGCCACAAAAGAATGAAAACGAAAGAGGCATTAAGGTGAATAAGGACATGAGCTCTGAAATCAGGATGCCTGGGTTGAATTCCTAATTGTACAACTAACGAGTTGTGTGGCCTGAGTCAAGTTGTTTACCATTTTTGTTTCGGTTCCCTGTCTGCAAATTTAGAATAATATTATTATCCTAGGGTTGTCGAGATAAAATGTATTAACACATACACTGCTTAAAGAGTACCTGGACATAGTGAAAACTGATTAAAGTCAGCTCTTATAACATTATGATCAACACTGAATGCCCTGACACATGACCAGTCACTTACATCCTCTTTAATGCTTTGAAAAGTCTACTGTAATCAAGTTTTAATGATATAGGATGCTTTTCCTATTTGGATTTAATCACAAGACTTGACTCCATAATGAATACTATATATATAATTATGTTATGGTTTTTGTTGTTGCTCAATTTTTATTCTAATATATATACTTAATTTATTCAGAGAACCAAAATGTAAATACTTTGAACATTGATAATATATTAAAATAGCTAACCAATTTGAGAAGTACTAAGAGGGAAAACTGGTAGGAAAAGAGTAGGAATACTATTACTATCATTAAAAAATATATATATGGAGTCTAGAAATAGCATCCAAAGATAACGCTATATACTGAATATTTATGTCCCCCCTAAAATTCATATTTTAAAGCCCTAAACCCCACTGTGATGGTAATTGGAGAGGGGGGCTTTGGGAGATAATCAGGATTACAGGGGGCCATAAGGATAGGGCCCTTATCTGATAAGATTGGTGTCTTCTTAAGAAAACACATCTGCAACAGGACATCAAAAAGCTTATCCACCATGATTAAGTAGTATTCATCCCGGGGATGCAAGGCTGGTTCAGCATACGCAAGTCTATAAACGTAATTCACCACATAAACAGAACCAAAGACAAAAACCATACGATTATCTCAATTGATGCAGAGAAGGCCTTTGACAAAATTCAACAGCCCTTTATGCTAAAAACACTCAATAAACTAGGTACCTCAAAATAATAAAAGCTATTTATGACAAACCAACAGCCAATATCATACTGAATGGGCAAAAACTGGAAGCATTCCCTTTGAGATCTGGCACTAGACAAGGATGACCTCTCTCACCACTCCTATTCAATATAGTACTGGAAGTTCTAGCCAGAGCAATCAAGCAAGAAAAAGAAATAAAGGGTATTCAAATAGCAAAGAGGAAGTTAAATTGTCTCTATTTGCAGACGACACGACTGTATAGAAGACCCCATCGTCTCAGCCCCAAATCTCCTGAAACTGATAAGCAACTTCAGCAAAGTCTCAGCATACAAAATCAATGTGCAAAAATCACAAGCATTCCTATACACCAATAACAGACTTAAAGACAGCCAAATCAAGAACTAACTTCCATTCACAATTGCTACAAAGAGAATAAAATACCTAGGAATACAACTAACAAGGAACGTAAAGGCCCTCTTCAAGGAGAACTACAAGCCACTGCTCAACGAAATAAGACAGGACATAAACAGTTGGAGAAATATTCCATGTTCATGGTTAGGAAGAATCAATATCGTGAAAATGGCCATACTGCCCGAAGTAATTTACAGATTCAACACTATCCCCATCAAGCTACCAATGACCTTCTTCACAGAGCTGGACAAAAACACCTTTAACTTCACATGGAACCAAAAGAGAGCCCACATAGCCAAGTCACTTCTAAGCTAAAAGAATAAAGCAGGAGGCATCACACTACCGGACTTCAAACTATACTACAAGGCTACAGTAATCAAAACAGCATGGTACTGGTACCAAAACAGAGATATACACCAATGGAACAGAATAGAGGCCTTGGAGGCAATACAACATATCTACAACCATCTGATCTTTGACAAACCTGACAAAAACAAGCAATGGGAAAAGGGGTCCTTGTTTAATAAATGGTGTTGCAAAAACTGGCTAGCCATGTGGAGAAAGCAGAAACTGGACCCCTTCCTGATGCCTTACACTAAAATTAACTCCAGATGGATTAAAGACTTAAACATACGACCTAACACCATAAAAACCCTAGAAGAAAACCTAGGCAAAACCATTCAGGACGTAGGCGTAGGCAAGGACTTCATGACCAAAACACCAAAAGCATTGGCAACAAAAGCCAAAATAGACAAATGGGACCTAATCAAACTCCACAGCTTCTGCATGGCAAAAGAAACAGTCATTAGAGTGAATCAGCAACCAACAGAATGGGAAAAAATTTTTGCAGTTTACCCATCTGACAAAGGGCTGATATCCAGAATTTACAAAGAGCTAAAACAGATTTGCAAGAAAAAAACAAACAAACCCATTCAAAATTGGGCGAAGGATATGAAAAGACACTTTACAAAAGAAGACATACATGAGGCCAACAAACATATGAAAAATGCTCATCATCACTGGTCATTAGAGAAATGCAAATCAAAACTACATTGAGATACCATCTCACGCCAGTTAGAATGACGATCATTAAAAAATCTGGAGACAACAGATGCTGGAGAGGATGTGGAGAAATAGGAACACTTTTACACTGTTGGTGAGAGTGTAAATTAGTTCAACCATTGTGGAAGACAGTGTGGCGATTTCTCAAGGACCTAGAAATAGAAATCCCATTTGACCCAGCAATCCTATTACTGGGTATATATCCAAAGGATTATAAATCGTTCTACTATAAGGACACATGCACACGAATGTTCATTGCAGCACAGTTTACAATAGGAAAGACCAGGAACCAACCCCAATCCCATCGATGATAGACTGGACAGGGAAAATGTAGCACATATATACCATAGAATATTATGCAGCCATCAAAAACGATGAGTTTGTGTCCTTTGTAGGAACATGGATGAACCTGGAAACCATCATTCTCAGCAAACTGACACAAGAGCAGAAAATCAAACACCGCATGTTCTCACTCATAGGCAGGTGTTGAACAATGAGAACACATGGACACAGGGAGGGGAGCATTACACACTGGGGTCTGTTGGGGGGAGATAGGGGAGGGACAGCGGGGGGTGGGGAGTTGGGGAGAGATAGCATGGGGAGAAATGCCAGATACAGGTGATCGGGAGGAAGGGAGCAAATCACACTGCCATGTGTGTACCTATGCAACAATCTTGCATGTTCTTCACATGTACCATAAAACCTAAAATGCAATTTAAAAAAAATAAATAAAAATAAAATGAATAATTGTTCTACAAAAAAAAAACGAAAAGAAAAGAAAAAACATCAGAGGCCGAGTGCGATGGCTCATGCCTGTAATCCCAGCAATTTGGGAGGCCAAGGTGGGTGAATCACCTGAGGTCAGGAGTTTGAGGCCGGCCTGACCAACATGGAGAAACCCCGCCTCAACTAAAAATACAAAAATTAGCTGGGCGTGGTGTTGCATGCCTGTAATCCCAGCTACTCAGGAAGCTGAGGCAGAAGAATCGCTTGAACCCAGGAGGTGGAGGTTGTGGTGAGGATCGCGCCACTGCACTCCAGCCTGGGCAACAAGAGTGAAACTCCATCAAGAAGAAAGGAGAAGAAAATAAGTAGGGGTAGAAGGGGAGGAGGATGAGGAAGAAGAAGAGGAAAAGGAAGAAGAAAAGGAAGAGGAAGAGGAAGAAAAAGAAGAAGAAATATCCAAGAGCTCAAAATCTCTCTCTCTCTCTCTCTCTCTTTCTATCTCTGTCTCTCTGTCTGTCATGTGAGGATACAGGACACAGCAAGAGGGTAGGCATGTAAAAGCCAGGAAGAGAGCCCTCACCAGAAACTGAATCAGCCAGAAT